CCGCCATCATCCTGGCACACAGCACCTGAGTCAGAGTGGGTACTCCATAAATATTCATTGAGTGAATGTGCTTATTTCGTTTTCTAACACTGCTTATTGCTATTGGAAATATGCCCAAAAAAATGACATGACTTCTTGTTGGAAAAATAATTAAAAATAAAATCTCCCGCAAACCAGATGAACCCTCTTCACAAAATGAAGAACAAACCAGTTTTATTATTGGATAAGTGTTAAACTAGACTGGGAAGGACATCACCAGCAATCCACAAAAGAGATTGCAAAGACAAATAAAAATCTTACCCTTTTATATATCCAGGCAGATACAATCCATGGCACACATTTGCTAATTGTCTTTGTCTAAAGGAAAAAAGGAACTTCTCATAGCTCTTCCACAAGCGGGAAATTACAACTTGGAACTGCATGCCTGGGCTACTCTCCCACAGTGAGAGGGAGACAAGCTCCGTCTTCCTCATGCTCACATTTCACAGAGACGACAAGGCCTTCGAGAAAGAATGCCCGGGGTGCAAAACTGGCAAGAGGCTTAATCAGCTTTTAGCAAGATTTGCATGGGAAAGGGAAAGGATTTCTAATGGTAGTTTTCTAAAGAAAATGCTGAAAGAAAATGGAGAGGAGAAAAGATGTCTTTCCCTTTTGAAAACAAGGAAATTTTTAATTTTTGAGGGAATTTGTATTACAGAAGAGGAAAAATCTCCCCACCCCACCCCCTGCTCTCCCAGGTTCAATGGTGGAGGGGAAGAGAGTTGGGGAGAGGGTTGTAACAGAGAGAAGGGGAAAGAGGGCTGAGGAGCCGCCAGCTGCTCCAGCCTCAGACATAGGAGTCTTTCTGCCCAGGCTCAGATATTTGAGCGACCATATCTTGGGGTGACTCTGGTCCCAGCCATCGTCTACGTAACAGTGTGAGAGAACCCAAATGAGAACTACCTGGCTAAGCCCAGTCAACCCCTACAACTGGGACATGATTAAAAACAATAGCTGGTTTTTCAGTGCTAGACTTGGGGTTAATGGGTATAGGAGTGATGGAAACAACTTATGGTCTGGGAATCAAAAGACCCAAGTTTTAGTACTAGCAGTCCTATCTCTCAGCTGTGTAATCTTGAGTTACAGATTCATCAAATCTCAGTTTCTTCACCTATTAAATGGGTATAATGATATTTCCAAGTAGGGTTATTCTCCGTTTGTCTCATCCCTCCCAAACCCATTTTCAACCTTCTCCACCCAGGAGATTAAACTCTGTGGACAGTTTCTTCCTGTGGCTTCACTCCCCATCTTCCTGCCTTGGGTCAGCTCTTGGAAGACATTGCTGGGAGACCAGTGGACAGGGGAAGAGAGAGTTCAGGGTATTTATCCCACCACCGGGTGCCCTTGCCAGGCTGCATTTTTGACAGTGGCTACATTTCTCCATGGTTAAGCTCATATGGGTGGTTCCTCTCCTGAGGCTGACAAAGCTTCTGAACCAGCTTCTGAGAACACTGCTTTCTCTCCCTGCCCTTTATTACAAAAAAAAAAAAAAAAAAAGGCCCGCCCATGTGGCTCATTGGTTGAGCAAAGACCTATGAACCAGGAAGTCACAGTTCCATTCTTGGCTGGGGCACATGCCCTGGTTGTGGGCTCAATCCCAAGTAGGGGGCATGCAGGAAGCTGCCAATCAATGATTCTCTCTTATCATTGATACTTCTATCTCTCTCTCCCTCTCCCTTTCTTTCTGAAATCAATTATATAGAAAAGAGCATTATTCTGACACTTGTTAAAATGTAAGATTTTATTCCATAATTTAATAAAGGAACACTTTATTCAAGACTATTGCAATAGGGGAGAAAGATTGAACTCAGCTTGAAATACAAGAAAGGACAAATGGGGATTTATAGAAAAGAAGCAGGTAAGGGGTCAGTGGATGGAGGATGACTAAGAGGAGACATCAAGCATCAAGAATAGGGGGGTTCTTGATAAACTGACAGGATTTAGACATCAAAGGTGAGGGATGAGGAACTTGATCAGATATGAAGGGTGATCAGATATCAGGAGTAGGGGGATTCTCACAAAACCGATGGCAGGACTCTTACTGAGACCCGGCTAGGCAGGCCAAAGACAGACAGCGCCACGGTGGAGACTCAGTCAGAAGAGGACTCAGAGAACTGGAGTGAAATTTGGTCAAGAGAGTGTCTTTGTCAGCCGCAGGCCCATTGTTGCTAATCCCTGGCTCCTCGGCTCCCTGTTGGTTCTCTTAACCTCACACCTCTGCACACAGTCCTGTTCTTGAACTCTCTGGGAGCAATGGTTGCTCCCTCTCCTGCCAGCCACTGACTGCTGGCCCTACCTAACCCACAGACTTGCTTTGAGGACCACATGAGAGGATGTGTGCAAAACAACTATGGAAGGCCAGCATTAAGGAAGTCATCTTCATGATTGAGAGGAATCCTAGTACAGTGGTCTGTCCTGTGTTCAAATCTTGGACTTGCCTCTTTTTATTTGTGTTGTTGGAGGCGGGTGCTTATCTTCCTCAAGCCTAAATTTTCATCCTACTAGTCAAAGGAAGGATTCTCTCTCTGGTAGTCTTGAAGGATCCAATATGACAACACACCCTAAATTCCTGCAAGCCTCCCGCACACATGACAGGTATTAAGTATGGTGTTAGTTCCCTACCTCTTCCCCCAACCCCTGTTATGAAATTGTTTTCTCAGTGGGTTTTACAAAGCCATGGATGCATCCCAGGCTTCTAAAAGGGCTTCTCACACAGCACTTCAGACCCTTTTCTCAATGCTCTGAGAGCAGAGCCTCCCATTATGGAAGAATCAAGGCTTGCCACAGGCCAGGAATTTATTGAATTGCTCAAAACAAATGTTGTTTTGCTTTTTCACTGAAGATCATGAGGTTCTGGTATAGCACACTAATTGCATTTTTGTGTTGTTTTCTTTTTATCTCTTTCCATAAAAAAGAACAGATACATACAGTGGTTACAGAAAATATTCAAGCAACAGAGAAGTCTATACAGTAAAAATTGCAAGTCCGTACCTCATGCACTTTCTGATGCACATTTAGGGTGTTGGAGTCACAGTTTTCTTTCCAGTCTAAATGTCAAACCAATTGAGAAATTAGATGAAGACAGATGGGACCAAACATCACTTTTATTAGCAATGATGTTGGCCTTGGAGAATGTGGTTTGTAGTCGTGGGCAAGTGAACCCCAGAATCAGATAGACCACCACCCTGTCACTGATGTTATTGGATCAACACAGTCAGAGTCTTGGCCAACAAGGACAGCCTGGCCCAGGGCAACTCAGCTACGGGCTCTCTGCAGGTCGGAGTGCTGTCAAAGGAAGGTGAGATTTGGGGGGCAGAACTTCATGCCAGTCCTTATCCCAAATGCATCAGTCATGTAAAGCTGGCCTCACACCTGTGTGTGTGTGTGTGTGTGTGTGTTGGGAGGAGGGAGATTAATGAAATGGGTAGAGAGAGGCAGGAGGGTTACACTCATGGCTGTTCTCCATGAGGAAGGAAACATCAAGGAGGGCCAGTGCTCCCCTTCCACATACATTATCTCCCTTTTTCTGCTCCTGCGATGGTGCTCCCACAAACATCCGCGTGCATCTTCCATTGGACCCTTGGGTGAGCATTTCTGTAGTGAAAGTTCCTAAAAGTGAGATATGTAAACTTTAGGTGGACATGTACTGAGTACTGACTGTGGACTGGGAGCTGAAAGTGGAATTTCCCTTTTTTTCCTCTGTAGTTTACCAAGCCCGCCGTATCCGTCGCCTCTTCATGCAGGAAGGCGGCTGAAGCTGCAGCATCTTCCTTGAACAGCGGTTTGGCGATCTGACTAGAGGCCAGTCACCGAGTCGGGTCAGCAGATCCAGGTTGTCCCATCTCACCTTCTGAGTCGCATGTATCTGGACATGTCACTGATCCTCCTCCACCCTCCATGTCCTCCTCTGTAAAACTGATAGAATATCACCAAAGGGTCTTGGGGGGAATTAAACGAGTTGATGTATAAAGTGCCTGGAGAAAGGCCAAGATGGAAAGAGAGAGAAGAGGAAAGGGAGTGGACACAGTGCAGAGGGAGTAAAAATCGGGTGTACAAGAGCCTTTTGAGGGTACCTTACACGGAGAGGCCAAAGGCCATCCTTGGCAACATCTGCGCACTCAGACTCGGGTTGAGCAGCTCCTGGGAAAACCTGCCTGGTGTTTAATAACCTCCAGCAGCGCCCGGAAGCACCAGGCTTCCAGGTGGCTCATCTTCAGCGCAGCCCCCAGTGCCCCGGTGGCCCACAGGGTCCTCCTTGGTCCACCTGACATCAGAGGCTTCTTTCCAGAACGGGCCAGTGTAGCTTTAATAGTAAGAAGAGTAGAGTGAGAACCAGAAATCAAATGCAAGGTGCCTGCCCCACGGCCTCAATGCAAGAGCCACTGACAGCACCCGCTGGTCACGGGCACTAGCACAGCCTTCTCTCTCCCGAGCTGGGTATGAGCACAGGTGCCCTTAGGCAGGGGAACCGACGTTCTGAAGGTGGCTGGGTTGCTCATTCGTGCGCAGCAAGGTTGTGGCCGGGCTGAGCGCTCTTTCCGGAACTGGGGGTGTTGCTAAGCCCTGGTGCCCTCTCCCGGTCTCCTCCGCCCCCGGCAGAGCCTGCGGGAGCCGGCTCCTGGCCCTCACCCTCCCACCCTACCTCCCTCCTTCCCTCCACCTCCTCCCCTGCCAGCCCGGGCGCCTGCCCCCGGCCAGTGAGGCTGGGTGGAGGGTGGAGGGTTGAGGAGTGCGGGCAGCGCGCGCCTTTTTTCAATGGCCAGGGCGGCTTTAGCGCGCCGCTCCCTCTCCGAGAAAGCGCAGCTCGGGGCTTTCGCGGGGCGCGGGGCCCCGTTATGCCTCCTCGGGGCGCGGCGGCCGGCCGGGACCCGGGACCCTGCGGAGGGCGCTGAGCTGCGGCGCGGGCGGTGCGCTGGGAGGGCAGCCGTCGGGGAGCTCGCTCGCGGGGAGCCGCCGGCACCATGCACCCCTGTCTGGCGCTGTGGCTGCTGCTCGCCGGCGCCGCGCACACCGTGAGTACCGCGTCCTTCCGCGGGCGGGGGGCCGTTCGGGTACAGGCGAGATGGGGGAAGCGGGGGACCCCCAGATCTTCCCCTCAGAATAAAAATGTGTGCGCCAGGAGAAGGCAGCTCTCAGCTGAGCCCCAGCCCCGACCGCACCCCTTCCTGAGGACTCCTGCACTGCGCCCCAAGGCCCCTGGACGGAGATTAGGGCTCCGTCCCCGCGGTGCTATTGGGTGCCGGGCGCTTGGCTTCCGTTATTTTATGGAAATCTCACGACCTCCTTACGAGGTTGATATATCAGCCTCACTTTACAGACAAGGAAACGGAGACTTGGGAAGACCAAAAATATTGTCCCAAGTGCAGACAAATGGAACCCACATCCGTCTGCCCGAAGCCTTGACATTTTCACACACACAGGCTGCGGGTGGGAAAACCTCAGATAGCTCTGAAAGGCAGCTTCCGGGGCTGAGACGGGACGGCGCTGTGACGGGACCCTTTGCAGCTCCCTACCCCTCTCCTGGGGATTTGGCTCCCTAATGTCTGCGTGCCTGGGGGACTCCTGGGAGCAGCCGCTCTCCCCAAACCAGGTCCAGGGAGGAGCTGGAAGGAAAGCAGAAGGCCGCAGAGTGGGAAGCTGGTTGTTCTTTCCCACAGAAACTCCTGGGAATCGCAGAGGCTCTCCCTGTGGGATTTGTGAAGGAGAGAGTGGCTGCACCCAGACTGGTGGAAGGAATGGGGAGGCGGAGGGGTAGAGGTAGGGGTGAGGGGGCCAGATTTCAGAGCTATTTCTTTCCACCAACATTCCAGACTGGCCTCCAAGGCTTCTGTCCCAAGAAATTCCCCAGGAACAGCACTTGGGGACCCCGTTTAGACTCTCTAATCTCTGTCCTGGGCAAGTCCTTGCTGGTGCCCAATGACCTTGCCCTCTTGTAGTCCTCTCCTGTTGGATCCTACGGAAAACCCCAGCTCCCTGAGTGGTGGGAGTGTTGACAAGCCATAGATGCCACCTTTCTGCAGGCCCATGGCATCCCAGCAGTGGCAGTTGGGAGGAGTGGAATTTGGGGATTTTGTCCCCATCTCCCTGGTAACCTGGAGCCTCAGCTAGAGCAACAGCACCCACTCCTTAGTGTGAACTCCCAATTTGGGGGGAAGCACCTGGGCACTGGGGACAATTCAAAGCCAAATGCAGCCGAGAGGGGTGTTGTTAGGCAGCGCCCAGGGGTGGGGGAGGCCTCTAGTTTCCCCTTTGTGACCCTCCCAGCCTCCTTCTTAAGTATTTGCAGTAAGGTTGAGGTTATCCCCAAAAATCAACAGGTCTGGGATTCAATCTACATTTTAGTCTCAAGGGGACCCCCCACATTATCTCAAGAATAAGCAGGGGGGTGGGGAGTGAGAGCCCTCACTTGGTTCAAGTATTCAGTGAGCCTTGGAAGGATGCTCCATTGTGCTCTAGCCCCATTCCCTCCCTTTACAGATGAGCAAACTGAGACTGCAGAGAGAAGGGACCTGCCCCAGATCTTCAAGTTAGTGGTAGGACTGGGACTGGAACCTCCCCGGGCTCTGCCAATTACAGCCCTTGTCCTTACATGTCTTTGTCATACACTCACTGGTACTGCCTAGTATTATTACCAGATAGCTCCCTGGAAGTTTTGGCCCTCTGGTTATTTTATGGGCTTATTCAGACCTAAGGTAGAGAACTTTTTGGTAGAGAACTCCTTTAATAAATAAGAGTGGAATTAACATACATTGATTGGCATATTTCCCAGTCTATGAAATTCTATTTTTCTTCTGTGTGACTGAGTGGTCAGGTACTTGATTTTGAAAGGTAAGGGTATTCAAACAATTCTTCATTCATTTGGGTCTCTCCTTTGAATAAGAGCATAGGCACCTTCCTAATGGGAGGTCATTAAGGCCAAATTGCTTGTTACTACTCCCCCCCCCCTTGCCTTTCCAGAGGTGCCAAGAAGGAACCTTGCAAGTGGAAACCAAAAAGTGATTGCCACAGGAAACCCTGAGCACACCTCCCTTTGCTACCCCCGCTCCCATGTATCTATCTCATGAGGACAGTGTTGTAATTGTTCACTAGCACAGCTGTCCTCCCCTCGTCCCCAATACGTACACTTTGAACTTGAGCACGGAGACTTAGTTTTCTTCACCCTTTATCCCTAGACCCCATTACAGTGTAAGAGGGAGCTCGATGATTTGTATTGAATGAATGAATGAATGAATGAATGAAATGATGATGATATCCACAGGGACTGTCTTAAACTGTGGCAGTTTCATACAGGAACAAGTAATGAAGAATGACATCTTGAAAGCAATCACTGCTTACAGACTTGTACATAAATGTACCAGGCAAAGGAGAATTAGTCATTCAAGTTAGGGTGTTTAATCCAGGGCATATGGCAAGCTGCCAGTTTGATAATCTTAGTGAGTTAAGTGGGTGTGGGGGACTCCTTTTTCCTTCAATCGCAGTTTCTTAACTTTGACACTGTATTTTTTTTTTAACTTTGACACTGTAATCTTGGATCTTTTACCTGGGATTTCAGCACGCGGTGCCAGAAAGAGAGCGATGGCCTCCCTTGGCCTGGGTGGAATAATGGGGCAGGGATGATGGGTGGAGAGAGGGCAGTTGGATGATTCTTTGTTGTGTGTCCTGTGAATTGCGTGATGCTCAGCAGCATCCTTGGCCTCTACCCCCTAGAAGCATTTTTCCAAGTTGTGACAACAGAAACATCTTCAGACATTTCCAAAGCTCCTGGGAGACGGGGGTGGGGTGGGGGGGGTGGGGGGGTGCAAAATTGCCCCTGGCTGAGAACCATTGCCTTAAAGGCTGTCAAGTTTCAGGGGCCATGCATTGACAGGAATAATCGTAGTTGCACGTTGGACTCCGGGCAGTGGGGTTGGTGACAGGGAATCTGAGTTGGAGACGGAAGCAGGTACACCTACTGAACTCCATGTCGAAGCCAGAAAAAAAGTTTCAGCGGGCCTTTCACTCCTTCCCTTCCCACTTTCCCCTCCTGTCTATCCTTCCCCAGTTGACAGCTCAGAAACATAAAAACTCCAAGTCTGGTTCTGGCATAGAAGCCTCCCGCACATGGTGGTCCTGCCTCTTCCTGTGGTGCCTCTGGACCTGGAGGAGGACAGCCCTGGGGGAGGGGCGGGTCTGTGAGCAGGGTTTTAGGAAGCCTGCCCAGGCCACCTGAGGGCTGGCTATGGAGAACTCTCCAGAGGAGGGCACCTGGGGTTTTGTGTACCTGAAGAATCACTTTCTGATTTTCTGAGGAAGTATTGTAGATTTCTATAAGATTTTTACTCTCCCTAAAATTAATGTGAATGCTGATGCTGGTAAAGGCTTCCCTTGTTGAGCACTTACTTCACACTAGGTAGTCTGCTAAGTCCTTCCCAGCTCTCCCTGATTTAATGCTCACTTCCAGCACTAGAACCCCCAGGCCAGTGCAGTGAGGACACCGAAGCCATTTGCTCAGGTCGCCCCGCTGGACGCAGTGAGAGGACTCACACCGTGTGCTGAACCAGCGCTGTGTCTGCTCCCCAGAGAGGCTGCTCTGCTCCCTGGTGCCCAAGGAGCTGTTGTACAATTCTGTCCCCAGCCTCAAAATGACATTAAATTCAGTTTAATCTAATCTATAATAATAAAAGCGTAATATGCTAATTAGACCGATTGTCCTTCCGGATGTCCTTCCGGATGACCTTCTGGATGAAGCCGGGGCTGTGAGGGAAGCCTGGGTCCCGGGTACCTGCTGGTGGCTGGAGGGAAGCCTAGGTCCCGGGTGCCAGAGGGAAGCTGGTCCAGGCAGCTGGGGGAAGGAAGGCCTACTCTTGCATGAATTTTGTGCATCGGGCCTCTAGTTGCTTTATAAAACATAAAACAAATACTGAAACACACACAACATTTTGTTGAGGGAGCCAGAGAGGAGCTTGGGGTCACCAAATCAACAAGCAGGAGGTATACTTCCTGGACTGTTTAGGGGAGTCCTCTTGGCTTTGGCATCACCTTTTTGGGGCTCCTCTCCCCCTCCTTGTCCCCTTAGCCTCACCCCATCATTACCTCCCGTGACCAGGGAGGGCACAGCCCTCTTCCTGGCACTCCTGTGGAAAGCCCAGATTTAACATTCAGGATTAGAGCTCCATGACCAGATCTGCCGCCTCCAGTGACCCCTGACTTGGTCCCTGCTTCCCTGCCCTTAGCAAGCTGGGGTTTCTCACCACTGACCTTCACTCGGGCTCTGGGACAGCCTGCAGCCCAAGGTAAAAGCCATAACACCCAGATCCTATCTACTTGCTTACTACAAACAAAGGACTGCTCAACCTTTGTGTGGACCTGAGAGAATGAGAGTATCCTGGCCCACCCAGCCACACTGTTCTGTGGCTGACAGATTCCAAGGGGCAAATGGGGAAGGGACGCCCCTGGCTGATGGCCATCTGCAATCAGCTCATGTGCTGCCAGGATCCCACGTTTCCCACGTCTTCAGAATCCCCACACGTCCAGCGTCAGTTCCCTCCCCCTGGCTCTCTGAGGTGGTGTCTATGTGTCTTTTCAAATTCTTGACCTTATCACCTCCCCTTTCCTTTTCAACACACAGGTTTACCTCCTATTTCCTGAGAGCCTAGACCAGGGGTGGGCAAACTTTTTGACTCAAGGGCCACAATGGGTTCTTAAACTGGACCGGAGGGCCGGAACAAAAGCATAGATGGAGTGTTTGTGTGAACTAATATAAATTCAAAGTAAACATCATTACATAAAAGGGTACAGTCTTTTTTTTTTTTTTAGTTTTATTCATTTCAAACGGGCCGGATCTGGCCCACGGGCCGTAGTTTGCCCACGGCTGGCCTAGACCAAGCATGTCAAACTCAAAGGCTAACATGGGCCAAATAAACAAGGTTTAAGTTTATGTGGGCCACAAAAAAATGAAAGCTTCAATTTTCATAGAAACGTAGGTTTATTTCGATAGGGACATGCTGAATACAAAGGGCTGAAATAAAAGACCAATCGTTAACATAAAATAATAGAACATTTTAATAAAAAT